TTTGGCAGGGGGGGGGGGTTCTGTGGAAGTTGTGGTATTTTAGAGTTGTTCATTCCACAAGGTGACTGTGGGGCGGGGGTGATGAGATGTGTGAGTCCAGGCTTGAGCAATGTACATGCTGGTAGTTTGTGGTTTTGGAGTTGCAGACCGGCGGGGTGTCTTTAATTACTCAAAGATCCACTATCTGCGTCATTGGATCTTCCCCAAAACTGGACGTGGGCCACTGGCACAGATGACCGGAGGATCCATCATACGCTACCGGCTGGAGGGGAGGGAGAGTCACCTTATGAGCTACGTTTGGCAACATTAAGCCAATAATCATGGCTTGTTTCATAGCTTTGAGCAGCATTTCATGTTTCAGTAGACATACTTTACCTTTACAAAATAGACTTTTATATATCTTTTTTTAATACCCATCGCCCCAGTAAAAATCATCCACTCTAAGTGTTTTACTAAGTTTGACAACCGAGGAGATTGAGGCTAGGCAAGCAGTGCTATGGTAATAGATACAACAGGAACACCAATACTGGCAAGAGGCAGCTTCATCAAGCACTATCTATCACTGCACTGCCAAATAAATGGCCCCATTTGATCATCAATGCAAAATGAGTGTAGTACAATTTACTGAAGATATGGGTTATACAACTTTAACAGTGACGTCTCAAACTGTATGTATGGCAGCCTATTTGTTAAATGTGACGAGTCATTATACCAGCATTAACTCATCCTGTGGTCAAGAGAAAAAAAACTTCACTCGAAGAAAATGTGAATGACAAGCACAGTCATTCTGAGTGGATTCATACTATGGGGGGACAGCTGTGTCGGATGTCAGTGAGTGTCTTGGATTCCCTGTGATAATACGAGGGTGTGGTGTGTGAATGTGTGCGCACAGTTGGTTTCTTAACATGTGGAAACACCACCACAGAGGTGAGCTGTGGGTGTGATGACATCATCCGCCCAAACGCTAAGGGGATTCCCTAACAAAAAACACATTCTCTTTCTCTCAAATGCATTTCTGTCTCTGTCTGGAACAGATGGGATGGGTCTTTCTCTCCTCTCCTTTTCTTTATGTAGCTCAAGCACAACAGCAGCAAGGTGTGAGGGCTTTAATTCAGAAGTGTAGGCGGGCAGGAGAGACAGCTCACTAAATCAACACGTGTGATATATGCAGCCCGATAAATTAATAGATAAAAGATGATAAAAGAAAAAAGGAGAGGCCCTAGGCGTGCTCCAGAAGCCACTGGAAGAGGGGGATGCGGTGAAGGTCTCTGCCCGCCTGGACGGCCTCCTCTCTGGCCTGGGACTGACTGTGTGTCTGACTCTCTTCACAGTAGCGCAGAAGCGAGTGCAGCAGCTCGCCCACCCTCCACTTCCTCTCCCGAAGTCTTTGGACCACTGCTGGGAGCTGAAAAGGCACACAGGTGTCATTCTAACTGTAATCTAGAGCAACGTGCTGCAATTGAAAGTGTATGAAAAGTAGTTATCAAGTGGAATGGATAAACGTTTGAAATAGCTAGCTAAAAGTTATGATAAATGGTTAACATTAGATAGCTAGATCAATGGATAAATGATTGAAATATCTAAAAGTAATGAATAAACAGCTGAAACAGTTTAAAACCAATTCAAACAAACACATCTGGAATATGACGGGTGGTGTCAATGAAGGGGTACTTGAGTTCATCTGACAGGGCTTGGGAGGTACAGAAAGTTTGAGAACCACTGCACTAAATATATTGTACAACCTGTTTTACTTAACGATTGTATTAGCTGGTGGTTTTCATGTTTGTCTCCACAGCAAAGCTCGCTCCAGTGGAAACCAGAATACCACTGTACAAGACTGCTAACCTTTAAAACCAACATCAACAAACATGGAAAGAATGCCATCGTTCACTGAAGCAATTTGACTTGGTTAAAGAGAGTCTTAATGTTTGATAATAAATAGCACAGTGGGAACCTGTTTGATGGCAGGTAATGAATATATTCAGAATGGACTGAGGGCAATCACCTGCTGGAGCTCTCTGTCGAGACTCAGCTGGATCAGGGGGACGTCGGTCATGGAGGCCGCCACCCACTGCAGCATGGTCCTGAGCTGAGAGTCCAGGCTCACGTGATGGGGGCCGCGCCCGAGCTCCCTGGCGTCCGAGTTCAGCATGACCAGTGCGGCCCTGGGAGCCTGCACCTGATTCCTGTCCACACAGAGAGTCCCTGCAGCACAGACAAACGTGAATCATCCTTGCACATTTTTCTTTCCATTTTCCTGTTTTTTAAATTGAGTTTATAGCACACTCTAAAAAGAAATTCAGTGGACCTATTGTCACCACTTAAATTATTGCATGGTTGCAAGATAAAACTTTCATTGAGTTAGATAAACCTTTTAAGTTGCAAACATTATTTGAATTGAATTGACATAAAAAAACGTGGAAAAACTAGTTGGATCAATTTTATGAGTGGCCCAATCGACTTAAATTTGTGCTACCAATTATTAAGTAAGCTGTAATTAAAAATACCTTTGACTGTAGAGGAAATCTAATTCCCCTAACTCAATGAAGTACATTTGTTGAAGGTAATTTCATTAGAAGTTGCCATAACTCAAAAAGACTGATGCAAACTGTTGTTGAGGCAAAACCTTTGTTTACATTAGTGTACATTGGTGTGATCTCTTCTCAAGTACCACAAAAACATACAAATACACCAAGTTTAATATGTAACAGTCCTGTTCTACTCAAGTGCTGGGTTCCCACGTTCCCACAGCAAAACAGAAACCAATGAGGACCCCCACCCCCCTAACTGGGGGCTGCTCTGGTTTGACACACACACACACACATAACCCAGAGTGACTGTGGAGGGAGTTGAGTGGATGAATGAGCGTTAGTGTGGCTGAATATGGGGGTGGTAAAATCCCCGGCTACAGCACACTCAGACAAGCAGACAGGCGTACATGTGCAGCCAGAATCAAGGCCCGCTGTTCTAAAGCTCAAGGAGTGGAAAGACCTCAAATTAGGAGAGAGGCCTGTCTACCAACTGTCCAAAAGTGCACCATGTTAAACTCTTTTTTTTTGGGGGGCCAAAATCTGCATTTTTCATACTGGCTACCTTAAAAGGTGAAGTTGCAGGCAGTTAAGTGTCCTTACCGCTGGATTCCTCTTTGACTTCAGTCTCCTTGTCCTCTGTATTGTCACTGTTGGATGAGAAATGTTACCCAGGTTAGTCAGTAAAAAGGGAGGAATGGCTGTGGGGAGATGTGGCTGCATGCAAGGAGATACCAATGACAACAAGCATGCTTAAGCTAACAGCCTTTGACATAAGCACAGCAGGATATCAGAAGCCACAAGCACTGCAATCAAAGCAATCCTGATCAAAAGCCATCTTACACACACTGAGGAAACCATGCTGCATATTTCCAGTCACTGTTTTTTCTAGATTCCAGTAAATTTACTTTTCTGCTTCAATGTCTTTTGTCAGTTAAGACTCGATGACTAAGAGTACATCTTGATCAGTGTGAAAGTTGATTTTTCCTTTCTGAAAATCTACTCGATAGCCATTTTGTCAATTGTGCAAATATCTGCTGTGTAATGTGCCAACAGGTAAACAGTCATTTCTCCACTTTATAAGATTGTTAATCACAGTCTTGTTGACACAGCCCACGGCTACAGACACTCAGACTCTGCTCAATATGATATAAGGATATCATTTTCTCTCCAGGAGGACGTCTAAGACTTCTCACATTCACTGTTTTTATGAATAGGAACATGAAGCAGCAATGACACTGTCAGGGAGCACAAACAGCAGCACCAATTTATACATTAAAGAACAAGTAAAGTTTAATAAAACAGTACATAACACAGTACATACAGACATACTGGAGCCTTGACCAGCATAAGCCCATATTACAACATGTTTTAAATTGCAGTGTTTAGAAGTAACTAAACCACAAACCTGAATCTGTGAGAAACCTGCCACCTAATGGCAGGCACTGGACGGCCCAGCTGCTATTTGCTGATCCTCAGTGCCAAGTGACCTTCCCTTGTGATGAAGGGTGATATCCTCCATTAATGTACTGTATATGTTATTTCTTTTACTTTAATTACTTCTTTGTTTATTCCTGCAACCACCTGATTCTAAGTTTATTTAATACTTGTTCTACCTTTTGGATAATGTATTTGAAAATTTCTTTTATAGGGTCTGTTAATAGTGTGCTTGTATTTTGCAGTTTGAAATTTTAGTTGAAAAGTATTGTGATATGATACGTTATAAAACAATCAGCTGCGAAACTCTTACTGTTAACCAGGCAGAAATGTCTTTGTCTAATTCAGTCAATTAACTACCTCCCAAAATAAGTTACTTCATCACATTGATCGAAAAAAAAACATAAAATCCTGCTAACTGCAACATTGCCTTCTGTGGCCTAATATACTAAAACATAATTCTCAAAGATTTGGGTCCACAAATAAAAGTGAAGAATTTCTTCTTCCTGTTAAATGCACTTATTTTTTGTCATTTCTAAAGTATTTTAAATGTGCACATTGTTTTCCTGATGATGGAAAAACTTGGTCTTGTTGATAAAGCGAATTCTGTATTCTTGTATTTTTCCGTTGACAGTAAAGGGTTGAAACACAAGAACTGTAACAGTATTTTTCCTGCATTCTAGGAGACCACAACCAGTATCAACATCAACATGCATTAACTTAAGATAGTTCATTACAGTGATTATTTTGTCACCTCATTTTTTTCTGTCAGTACTTATCATGCAGTTGTAAGGCACTGATTGCTTTGATGGTGCATTCAGATGCCTGTGGGAAGCACTGACATCTGAGAACTGGTTGTCAAACAGAACTGAATTCATGTACTTCCTTTACGGAAAACAAAACCCAGAAAACATGGAAGTTGTTTAAAGTGTAACTAAACCCCAAAATTCTATTCAACTTCCTCCCTCCCAGCAAATAAAAAAAATGCTAGAGAGAGAATCATATCGGGGGTGTGGCCATGTCGCTACACAGTATGTGACGCAGGAGGTAACATTGGCCAGAGTGTAAGGCTGCCGATAGTCAGAGCTAACAGAGCTAACCAGCTATGAGCAGCTGCTGTCAGACTCTGTGTCCGTGCTGTAAACACCGCTGGAGCCACCACAGTCACTGGAAACACATTTACAGCTGTTTGTAAAAGTTTCTGCTACCTGTGTACAGACTGTCAGGCTAACAGCTACGTAGCAGGCCACAGCCTGCAGAGTGGATACATTGGTTTTATAGTATAGGTTGGTAACGAAAACTGTCACCTCCCTCTAGATCAGGCAATAGCAAAAATGGCCACATTTTGAACTGAACCAATCAACAACACTAGTCAATACCCATATACAAAAGTTTTCAGCAGGAAAAAAAAAAAAGGCTTTGGGTTTAGTTAGGGTCAGGGTTACTCTTTAAACGAAAACTGTGTCAAACAGTTTTTGCTTCTTCTTTTCTTTTTTTAAAGACTGCTGCTCAGTTGGCATTTCATCCTCAAATGTCAAACGATACTGGGATTTCCTACGAGCACATGTTGATTAACATGTCGATTGATGGTACTTCACTTGATATAAACTGGAACAAGCGGCAGCATGGATGGAAGCAAAAACATTGGCCAGCCTGAGAAAACTTTTGTATTAACGGACGGCTGGCAGTACGGACTGAACTTGTCAATGCTGCAGAATATTTTCGCGAGTATGACGGAAACACCTGCAGGACAAATATCTAAACATATTAGTGGGTTGAACTGTGATTGCAAGAACCCCCAAAATATAGTAACACTTCAAATGATCCTATTAAGCAAACACAGTACACACAGAAACAGCAAAACATTGCATGCTGACGTTAGCATCAAAAAGCATATGCCATGTCAAGTCTACTTATTCTTAGAGCTTAGTGTGGTCATGCAAGGGGCTGGTGGTTCCTAGTATGGGACAAAGTATAAATCAAAATGCCATTGCACAATGTTTTCAATCATTTTCACATGATGAAGCAATGCCCTGGTTCCAGTTTGGGGCTGAGATTTTCCACTGATGGATCTGTTACATGCTTCCTTGCTTACTTTTGGCTTCATACAATGACTCAACTATATCTTTGTTTCATTCTAGGTGTACCCCCAGGCCCTAACGGGTGGAAGGTTAGCAGTTTTAAGCAGTTGCTGACCAACCTGTCAGAGGGAGAGAATGACATGCGCTCCTCACAAGCTTCCCCCTCCAGGCCCAGACTGCTCCAGCTACTGCTGTTCCCATTGCTGCTGGAGAGAGAAGGTAGGTAACGCACCATTGTAAAGCTGACTGGGGCTAATCACATGAGAGCTAGTGAAATGGAACAGATCAGAACATAATAAGCAGTTTCATCCCATTTGCTGTAATGACCGTGTCTGTCATGTATCAACAAACAATACTCAGGTTGATGATGCCATTTCTGGCATTTGGAATAATCCTTTTAATGCCAGGTGAGGTTCAAAACAGAGGAGGATTCTCCAAATGATGCACATTTTTCCACCACCTATCCCACTGAATCATCCGTAACGCAGATCGAGACAATTTGTTGCTAAAGGCCTAAAATGTGAGATCATTACATTCTTGTCCTCACATCATCCTGTTAATCCTGCGGGTTCCACCAGGACAACCAGCTGGCAACAGAAGCATAACAACATACACATTCTGTAATTAGTCAATGATTAGCCTGCTGGCTGGAACCTGCACACTGTGGCGTGCAGCGCTCTCAGTGAGCCTGAAGGGAGAAACATTTCTGATATCTAAAAATACCTCCTTTAATCTGCATTACCTTAGCGACAGCTTTCTCCCTGTGGTTTGACTGAATGACACATGGTGAGAGCTTTTTCATTTAGTCAATTATCACGCTCAGCGTCTATATTAGCCCTCAGAGGTGATTTCTTTTTCTTCCGTTATTTCATCTGCTGAGCAGAAATGGCCGCAGCAGGCTTTTGAAGAGAGCCTAATGAATTACACATGGTGGACTTTGTTCCTGTAGAAACACTGCCTGAAGTAAAGAGAGCACTCAGACACACCTTTAGAAAATATTATGATACATTAACTTGGCCCTGATGGCCAAAATAACTAGCTGCTAACACATTGTGTTCTTTTAGTATCTTTGGAAAGAATGTCTAATGTTGTCAGTTTTGCTTCCATAGAGATAACAACCGTTGCCAGAAATGTCAACAGCATAAATTCCCAAAGACTTGCATGTCACTTAGAGGGCTAATACTCAGACTCACTCTCCCCTTTTGTTTTTTTTTTTTACATACATACACACAAACACTGATGCCCATCCGCGAAGAGAAGGCCGGTTCTGTCACAACTACTACTTTGTTCTTATCCCTGCAGTGTATTTCACAAACATTCTCAGCAGAACTTGGCTACATAGATGGCTACATAAAATCTTTATTGACATATCCGCTCAAGCTCACATAAAATGGAACACTGCAAACAGAGAAAATTACATTTTGGTGGTAAAGTCTAAATGATATTCCCAAACCATACACGGTGCCCTGTGCTGACCTTGGGAAACCTCCCTTAGACTCGACCACAGGAGACTCCTGCTAAAAGGGGTCCACCATGAGCAATAAAAGAGTGTTTCTCTGCTGCTCTGGGTCTGAGGAAACGAACAATGAAGAAATAAATTCCACGTCTTTTAGCTGTAATATTAAATCTATATCAATAAAAAATGATGTTACAAAACAAGTAGGACACACCTTGTTCTATCCATTTTAAATGCTTCTTTTTTATATTTTAATATTTATGCAGAAAATCTTTCAGTATCTTCCATGTCGAGTGACCCGGGGACTCTAAATCAATGCCAAATTATAAGACGCTATAAAAAGAGGACACACCTCTTTTTTAAAATAAATGTTAAATGCTTCTTATATTTTATAATAATATGGAAAAATCTTTTTTCATTAGATTTGAACTGCACTAACCTGTATGACAGGTGCTATATAAATTCATATAATAAAGTCTGACTGACTGATTGCTGACAGCATTGTCCCAAGAGAATATCCTCACATTAGCCTTTTTCTTCTAGTGTTGAAATTCTAATTTTACCTTATATATTTATATATATTATTTTATAGTACATACATCAAAATATTTTATAGATAAGATTGTTCACATTTAAAGAAAGGACCAAATAAAGACACACAGTGGGACATGTGGCTGACACCTCATGTTGCCATCCTGTTGGAAAAGACAACCCTGGCTCCTGTGAGATGATGGCAACAGCAGCTGTCATCATATAAAAGAAAGTGTGAAACACTGAAAACAAACCTGTACCAATTCACAGCAGGGGTTTCAATAACTCCTATTCATGGTTTAAAATTCAAAGACTGCCCAAGAACCTGTGCCCAAATCCTGCTCATAAAGACATCTGTATAATATAATGTACTCCTCAGTGCACCTCTGTGTCAAATCACATTGTAAGTGGGATATTACCACAAATAAAAGCTCTACAGCATTAGTTATAAACACATATATCTTTATCAGATTAAATGTTTAAGTAATATGTAAATGTGTATTCGTTTTGTATTACTACAGTAAAATATTGACGCTGAAGGAAATAGCAGCAGTGTGCTCTACAGGTAACTGGATATTTGGTATGTTATGAGTGAGAAAGCTAGTGGTTGTATACCTGTCACTGAGGTGAAGGAAGCTGCTGTTGTCGTCCGGGTGCTCATCCTCAAAGCTCAGGTTAGACCAGCTGCCCAGGCTGTCATCTCCTACACTTAGCTGCTGGGACACAGAGGACTCAGTGGCTTCCCTACCTGGACAGCTAAATGCACAGCGAGATTGAAGGACAGATAAAGGAAAGGTTCAGATTCATGTTCTGTTTTTATAGTAAACGGTTCAAATTAAGTAAGTAGTAGTAGGTAAGTTAAGTAAATGTGAAATAGTAGCAGCTTTTGAAGGGTCAGACCTTGCAAAAGCAACTACTAATATGAATCATGGTGCGTGTACCTGATGCTGGCAGCCTGGCAGATGTTGGACAGGGCTGACGTCATGATCTCGGCTGTGAGGCTCTCAGCGTAGCTGGTTCCATCATGGCCGATGCCACTGTCAGCATTAAGACTGGTGTTGCTCAGCTCACGTTTAGCTGTCTCCATCGCCATGGACACCATCTCCTCTGCAAATATTGCCCTGTTGTCAAGGTCAATGTGGATCTTGGGAATCTCTAAGCTAGAAAGCCTCTCAGCCCTTGAGTGACATTCAGGCCCTCTTTTCCTCCTCTGTAATACAGGCTGGTGGTGGTGCCTGCTGAGTTTGGTGCAGTACGGGCACTCCTGGACCTGACAATAACGGCATGTCCTCTCCCCCAGGGCTTGGCCCAGTGACGGCACCTCAGACAACCTCTGGGTATGAGGGTGTCTGTCACGGCCTTGGGTCCTCTGGTGCTCCCGGGATGAATGTCCAACTGAAGCCAGGCTCATCTTCAGAGTGTCATTAACTATTTTCCTGGCATAATGCTCGATGACCTGCATAGCCCTACTCCTGTAGCCTCCATCATACAGGCTTCCTGTGCTGTGGTAATGCTTGCTCTTACCCTCCTTGGACAACAGGGGGCAAGAGAAGGAGTTCCTGATGAGATTCTCTGCCATGTCTTCAAATTTGGATTTCTTATAAAGACAGGAGTCAGTCAGAGACTTGGGCAGCCGTACAGAGGAAAGACGCAGCTTGCGTGTTACATCACAGGTGATGTTGTAAGCTAAAGACTCTGCAAAGTTTAACAGGTCCATGTACTCCCTCTGACTCTGCTCTTCAGAGTCCCTGCAACAACACTGAGCATCCTCGCCTGACTCTACTCTGTCCTTGGGTGACGAGGCCTCACTACCAGAAGCTTTCCATTCATCTGGCAGCGACTTGGAGGAGTGAAGGCGGCTGCTGGAGGATCTGTGCTTGATCTTGCGACTAGCATGAGCCAAGCCTAGTTTTATGGAGCGGTAGGCCAAACGGCTCGCATACTGGTCTAGGACCAACTCCCTACTGCCTCCCTCTTTTTTCAGTACCCTGATGAGGTAGCCAGCATATTCATCTGTCACACTCTCACAGCTGGGATACTCGGAGGTCAGGCCAGAGGTGGAGCTGGAGATGGTACTTGATGTGGAGGTGGGAGACCGGAAGACAGAGGCTATCAGGTCATTAGACCATTGCTCAGCCAGCCTCCCTACCCTCCAGTCTTTGTTCTGGTCTGTACTGGGTTGAGACTGGTGCTGGTAGTGGTGACGCAAACATTCAGAGCTAGATCTGTCAAAGCTTCTTCTTCTGTGAGCTCTGTGATATGGACACTGCTGGGCTGAGCTCACCATCCTCTTCACATCATTGATGACCTCTCCTGCTACCTCCCCAGCATAAACCCACAAGGTATTCAGGGTCTGCTCTGAGAACTGAGCCACACTGTCTCTCCTCCTCTCGCTGCCCTTGCTCATCTCTCCCTCCTCCTCTGCAACTCTGAGTGTGTCCATCTCTGTTGCCATGGAGACAATGTGACAAGCCAACCGCTCAGCGTAGTGGAGGGCTTCCTTGTTGGACATTCTGCGAGTGGACATCTGGTTCAGTTCATGCCGGCCACCGCCTGTCTCTGAACATCTGTTAGTTCCACCAACACTGCCCTCTTCTGCCAATTCTTCCTCCTCATCCTCATTGCCATCTGCTTCCTCAGACAGAGACCGCATCAGTTTAAGCATAAATTCAGCCTTGTCTGCTTCAGGGGTGATGTCTTTCGGCCCTGGGCCAGGCTCAGGCTGATAATGAGGGGTGGGTGGGGGGGTAGCGGGGGAAAATTCCTTAGCCAGCTTGCTTCGGGAAGCTTCTTGGAGAACTGTTTTATCTGTTTCTCTTTGGACACCTCACTGGGCTGCTGAGGGGTGGAAGGAGGAGTTTCAGGAGTCCCACCAGATTTTTGGCCAGAGCTTGGGCCTGAGTCATCCCCAGAAACAGATGTCCTCCTTTGTCCACCCATCTCGGTACCCGGCACATCAAGAGTATCCATCATCACAGGATGGGTTTCAGCCACACCTCTGGTCCTGGGGTCTAACTCACAGCTGGCTCTTCCCTGGCTCTGAGATCCTGTCTGAAAGGAAATGTGAGGAACGCTAAAGTCTGCTGCTTGCTCTTCAGGGCCACCCTTGCTAATATACCCAGAATCACTACAGTCATATCTAAAACTCTCTCTGCCAGCTCCCTGCTTTAAAGGGGAATCTGGAGCCTCATAATTAACTGTCTCCTGCTTAGAAGAAGAGTCCCTTCGGCTTCCGATTGTCTTTGTGAGGAAATCAGCACAGTCACCAAAACTCTTCTTCATCTTAGAGGCAGTTATTAGGTCACAAGCCTCAGTTACTATCATATCCACCATGTTGCCAGAGAAGTTTTGGAATGGGGACTTTCCTTGGCCATGATCGTAAAGGTTAGTTTGTGTAGATGTAGTGGTGTCAGAGGAAGATAAACTCACTCTTTTGGGGCTGGCCTGTGGGGTATTTGACAAGCTAGACTTACACTGACAGGTCTCCTCAGGGTCCTGGAGGTGGGAGAGGGCTTGGCCTGCTTGGGGCACAGGGATACAGCTGGCCATGCCTGATACAGTGAACAGGGCCTTCTTCACTGTGCAGCTAGCATCCTCTTTGGAGGGCCCTGGGACTGCTCCAGCTGAGCTGGCACTTAAAACCTGCTGGTTAGTGAAGGTACTACAGGTGTGAGTGCTTGTGTCCTCTGCACTGACATAACAGATGTTGTCCAGAGACACGCTAATAGCTGCTTGGCTAGTGAAGGCAACATCAGCCTGAGAGAGCTCTATGAAGGCCTCCTGTATAACAGACTCTGACAAGTCTGAAGCATAGGAGGAAACCACCTCCTCCTCTTCCTCTTCCTCTGGCCTGTGGCCAAAGGACCAATCACTAGGGGTGAGAGGGGTCGAGGGGTGTGAAAACTGACAAACCTCCATGATGCCTTCAAACACCAGCTCTTCAGCCAAATCAGCAGCAAAACGTGTCACTGTGCTGTGGAAAATCTGTTTTTTCACTGTCAGGAACTCCTTCAGCGCCCCAGACACGGCCTCTCCAACCAGGAAGCCAGCTAATCCATTGATTGCTCGTTCCTTCAACACATACGCATGGCGCATGCCAATCTCATGGAAGGCCATCTGGAACACTGAGGAGGTGAGCCTGGCAGCTAGGTGACACAAGGTGGTGGTACAGGAAGACACACCTTTTTGGAGGTCTCGCAAGGCGCTGCCCAAGCTCATTTCCACCAGGTCAGTGGCGAACCTCTGGATGCCATCCTTCAGAGACTGAGACTTCTTCTGCAGCTTGGCCACTGTTACAGTCTCTTGTATTTCTGACAGCTTCATCAGGTAGCCCGAAGGGTTCTTGAATTCCTTGTGGCAGACACAGCTGAGATTCTTGTTGTCACTGATGTCAACGGCAGACTGATAGCCACACACAGATCCCAGAATTTCTTTGGACAGACTGCTGGCAAAGTCTGAATAGGTCTTATACAGAGAGCAGAGATCCTGGGGTTTACGTAGCTCTGTGCTGTCCCGTCCATCTTCATCAGTCTTCCAGAAGTATTCCAGTGTCCCACTAGAGTCTACCAGGGGGCTGAAGGCTGAGGAGCAGACAGGACTAAAGAGTGGGCCACCATTCTCCTCAGAGGGGGTCTGCACAGGTCGAGGGGAGTCAGGCACCTCAGAATGAAGTGAGTAGGGAGAGCCTGGTTTCAGAGGAGTGGGTTTTTTCACATTGGCTGGGAGAGTGGGCTGGTCAAAGCGGTGAGGGTTCATACCCTTGGTTGAGCAGCCCCTAGAAACATATTTGGATGCTGACCCGCTGGTGCTAGACTCAGTGGACCTTTTCTGTGTGGCTAGGGCACTGATGGCATCCAGAGGCAGTGCGAGAGTGCAGCTCTCTGAGCTCAGCTCATCCAGGTCATCGAACTGGTCAAAACTGTCAAAGAATTCACTGACTTCGGAGTCTGAGTCTTCAACTCGATCTCTGGGCCCCCCTGGCACCTGAGGGATGTCCAGCTTGGCCAGCAGGCTCTTCTGGTAGCCGACCTCATCAAGGAAAATGATTGGGCTGGGGCTGGAGCAGTCTGAATCTTCTGATTCACTGACATGAATCAGTGGCGAGGGGAGACGAGCTCCAGGACTGCAGTAGGTCCATTGAGATTCCACGCCTGATGACCTCTGCACTGTGACAGACACATCTGGACCTGACTTATGTTTAGCTGAATACTTTGAAGATGAACTCATGATAATGCGGGAGCCTGATAATTCCTTTCTTCTCTTGTGGGCCGGGACTGTCTGTGATGCCACATCACGCTTTTTAAAATGGTGATAGGAAGACGCTGCTGTGGAGATGGATATGAAGGGGAAAAAACTGGTTATATACATTAAAATATAAATATAAAGATGAACAAAAGGAAAGTGAAAACAAAAGCTGTTCATTCATTGTGCCTTGATTATTTACAATAGTATAGGAAAAAGCATCCCAACTAGAAAATAATGTATTAGTGCCATCTAGCAGTGACCTTACCCAATTTCAATTCCTGCCACAAAATTATGATCGTATAAAAATATTTAAATGTTTAAAACTCAGGCCCCCATTTTGGATTTTTCAGATCTATATTCAGATGGGATCACAAGATACCAGCGACTACCAAATGCCACTAAGCATTAGAGGTTAAACCTACAGGGACTGTCTCCTGTGTCGTCCTCCTCCAAATGCTCCAGGGCCGTGACAAAGTCGTCCTCGATTGATGAGACCGACTGGTTGGTGTCATCTTCCTCTGGCTGGCTGGGCTCAGCTGTGCCCCTCTGAAGAGCCTGAAGCTCCAAAGCATAGCGGACACCTGCCAAGTAGCACCCCAGTAAACCCACCAAAGATCCTACACTGGCCTGAGGGTAGACGCTGGTGCTGGGGTTATGCCTCAGCACACACACGGCCTTTAACCAACACTGAAGGCAGAGGAAGACAGCAGAGAGAGAGATAGAGAGACAAAGAGGAATGAAAAGAAAAGAAGGGAAAGAAGATACCGAGAGTTAAGCCTGGCTGCCTGGTGATTTATTCAGCTCATTCAGAGAAAGATTACAGCATCTTAGATCAACAGGCAGACAGAGTCTATAAACTGTTAAAGGAATCATGTCCCACAATTACTTGGAACGAGAAAAGCTGAAAAGATCTTGACTTTTGCAAAATAAACAGAATTCACATGGACATTTTCTTATCCTGATCCAACAGGCGAGGGAGGGGAGATAGGGGCCGGAAGTGTATTATTATGTCTGTACTCTGATTGCAGAGTTTATCTGTTGCATGTGCAGAATAAAAAATCACTTCGTTGGAGTCCAACATCAAAAACATCTTTGTCCGTCTGTCCACCTACATGTTTTATCTTACTGTTAAGGACGAGGCCACAAATGTGGTTAAACAATTTAAGCAACACATGCAAACATTTTAGGAAGCAAAAATCCCACACCTAAAAAGGGATGTATTTTGCTAATGAGTGTTAAAAGTTTAACTTGTCTTAATAATTAATATAATAAACATCTGCTAAAAGGGTCAGTGACATATTAACATGTGCATGTTTCTAGTGTAAATAGAGTTGATTCAGTTTATTTCCGAAATAAACTGGCATTAATACTTGTTGACGGAATTCTATGGAAAGATTTGTAAGAAAATAACTGTTAGGAGAGATCTATAATACCCTACCTCATTCTTACTTCCCCTTATTTTTTCCCCTTACTTCCCTGCGCACTAGCTTTACTCAGCATGCTGACTGGGCACATTCCTTTAAAAAGAAAGGCCTGTCACCTACCTGAGGCCCGCCGTCCTTGTGCTCTACCAGCCTGCGGGAGTCTTTGAGGAGCAGAACCTCATCATTCTTGAGGCTGTGAACGTGGAGGGACCTGAGAAGCTCACACAGCCCTCCTGGCAGAGATGACAGAGCCTGGGAAAGAAGGCAATGACACAGATGCATTAGCTTGTAGGTCAAATGGTAAATTACAGGACCTACCAAGAACTCATAGGAAAATGTTTGGTACTAATGTCTAACCCCCTGGGGGACCACAGCTCAGGTAACTTTTGGACTTTGATAAAAGCCAGAATTCCATCTGTGTTTTTTTGTTTCATCTGTACGTTGTATGTGTAAATAGGCTTGGTCTGCTGTGTGTGAATTGGCCCAGATTAGAGGGGTTAATCTGAGCATGTGTATTTCAATATGTGTGTGTTAATCATGCATATAGATGTGGGAGAGTGTGATATTGGACTAAAAAAGTGTTCTATAACGTTACTCAATATACATCAGTAAATAGCCCTTTGTCTGTTTCATTGCATATGCCCCATACTGGTGCCTTGAAATTACGAGCAAATGTCCCGCCCACAAGAGAATCTGATTGACACTGACACCTTCTCAAGTAAAAGTAGAGTAATAATTTCGAACATCAAACATAAAGATAATGTTGAAAAGTTTGAACATATACTTAAAGTACTCATATCCTTTACTTAAGTAAAAGTAGCAATATTGTACTTAGTTTCACTCCACCATTCCACATTCTGAATGTAAAGTTAATGTTAATGTTTTCATTGATGACTAATAATCGTATCGGCCCTGAAAAAAAAAAACATATCGGTCGATCCCTAATTTGTAATGATGAAAACTTACCTGTTGGGAGACATCTTCTCCTTCACATTGTCCAGGCAGACACACAAAATGAATCTGGAAAAGCATAGTAGATGGTCAGCATCAATGTGCGTTATGTTTGAATATGGCTGAGCTCTGCATATGTTCGCACTGCGGTTAATGTGACAAACCTCTGTCAGTCTTGTTGAGTCTCTGGTTGGCAGCTCCAGGCCAATGCTGCATAGCTCCTTTTTATTCCTGAAGAGGCTCTTCACACACTGCGCCCCACTGTCACGCACGGTCTGCAAACACACACAGTGCGTTTAGACTAAGTATATGGTTGAGAGTAATTATGAGAAACCAATGTGTATGCATATGCCCGCCGCTGTAGCATGCATAAAAGATGGTATAAGCAGTACTTGTGCATACTCTTTAATATATCTGCCTGCTTTTACACAACTTCAATACAGATCCTCCTGGGTAATCAGGCTATATTCAAACTGACATTTTAAAACACTTGTATGATCATACTGGCCAAACCATTTCCAGTTAAAAAAACACATCTCACCACATTAGAAAGTGCAGTAAACAATCTAGGAACCACTGAGCACAAGCACACAAAACAAACAAGTGAAAGTATAGTACTGCAATACAGTATTATCATACCACTTACCAACTGGACAAACAACTAAGATAAGACCCATTGAGCTTTAACATTACATTAACATCACAAGTGAAATTACAGCAGTCAGTGTTTTTTAGGGATGGGTATCGAGACCTGATACTAAAGGTACTACTGGTCAGTACCAAAATATCAATAAGCTTGTCAATGAAGTAAACTGCTATTGGTTTTTCTGTAACATTACAGCTGATAGGGCTCACTTCACTGGACTTAATGAAAATGTAGCTTATTGCAATTACTGAGGAAACAACTTAATTCTGCTAAAAAAGGAATAATGAAACAACTGTTCAATCTTTTTACTCTTTTCATGTCACATCATTATTTTTTGCACCAAATTATAGCAAGTAGCATTGGTATCGACATTAGAACCCGACCGATACGTCAATCGTCTGATATTGACCTATCGCAGACGTATAAGTGTATGTGTCATCCGATTTTAGAACAGGTTTTCCGCCTGGTATATGATACAGAAAGGCTTGTAGTTTTTACACTACTGATGTTTAGCTATTTATTTTATTTTTATTTATTTTCTCAGTGCTCGTTTCTAGAATTTGTTGAGACTGTAGCCTATACATTAAATGTTTTAACATGTCACATTTAACTTAAGAATATTTAACTTATTAAGTTATTTGTTTAAGAAAGCAGCCTTCAGGAGTACCTTTGCAGAGTCATATCAGTGCAAAATTTGTATATTTTCATTCCAGCTCAAAAATTCTCTACATCGGCTGTCATGTCTGTGAATTTTTCCAATATAGGTCTGGCTCTAATAGATATCGGTATCAATAAAATCCTAAAGATACCCAGCCCAAAGGATTTGTGAGGAGCAAGCTAAATCTAACTTCAACTAGCCATGCAGATGTGCTTTTTGAATATTAGGTGCAAATATCCATCAAATATCCAATATCAGATTCAGTGGTAGGCATAAAGAATCACTGCAGGATGGTGCTTGAAATCTCCTTTCAAAGACAGCTGCAGAATAAAATGCAGTGTCCCGGCCGGCAGACAGACCTCTTTCCGGACTGAGGCCCTGGACCTTATTGGAACTCCTCTAATACGGGCACAGGCATCCATAACAACAGAGCGCTGCACGTGGCTGGCTGATGGGCTGCTCACCTGTAAATAGAGGGAGAGAAATAGAAATCGAAGATAACAGAGTGAGTGACATGGTAGGGAAGTTTAGAGAATGGCTAAAATGAGGTTAGAGAGAGTTATATCGGCCCGCTGCTGAGCCTCTGTTACGTGGTACTCTGTTTCACCCTCAACCACAGCAGCAATCACATGACAAAGCAATGCCAGTATCAGTGCTATTAGTAAACAAAGAGCTATCACACTGTCTCTATCTACTGCTGCACACCTATATGCCAAACTAGGAAGCGTGATGTGTCAAAGTCAACGGTTTACATTCAACAAAGAGCCGAGTCACTGCACCTGTGGCATTCAGTCATTTACTGAGCCAACTATTGGATGAAATCAAGCCTGTAAAGCAAAACATTTCACTACAGGAGGCAATGCAGTGCTCTGAATTTTTGAGATTCTACAGCCAACCTGCTAGACCGACGTTTTTCTTCAAACCCGTGTGAAAATACCATGAATCAAGCTCTTCAAAGTAAGCCCAGACTTGTCCTGCTGGTGAGGATAAGCTATAGTAGGCCATGCTTCTTTGATATTCTTTAAACAGCCAGGCCTGCGTCAAAGATCAAACGGCACGGCAAGAGAACAGGGGTGTGTGCTCTGAGCAGGGGAAACACACTTGGTAAGCAGCATGAGAGAGCGGGTAAAGGAGGCAAAATATTTACAGTGTACAAGAAGGAAAAGTTTCCCAAGAAATCCAAGCCTCTCCTTTGAGGTACAGTCCAAAGCGGCTAGTTGAGTCTAGACCCGAGGCAGGCGGTCCTATTGATCAGCCCATCCTACATCCTGAGAACCAGAAGGGAAGTAGAAGTAGAATGCCACTGGCTTCCTCTGGTGATCCAGGACCTCCTAGCTTTTCGTGGGTGCTTTGGTGGGCTGTGCAAAAACAACAGAGACAGCAAACTGCAACCTGACCTCAACTATGCACTGCATCTCAATTCACTCACAAGGGGGAGCTGGCACAATGACATCTATTATGGAGGGTGACTAACAGAGATTAACTACATAATGTTTTATGCCTGGGATGTTCATGTTTAATTCAGTGGTACAGTATATGAGAATCAACTTAGTAAGCCTACATCATGACCTTATGCAACTTGTGGTTACATAATGCCACGTGTTATTTGGCAGTCACACTAACTGCAATTAAGTCTAACTAAGTTTAGGCTTCTCCCAGAGCTGATTCATATAACTCATTTTTAAGTTTGCACAAAAATGTAACGGTGATAAGCAGACGCAGTGCAAGGATTCTGGGCGGCTGTTTGTGATCATCTCTTAAGGAGACAGCAAAAACAACCTGTCAAGGGTGCAAACTGTGTAGTCTAAAAACTTGTTTGGTTGGAAGCTGCCAAATTTTTAGTCTGGGTGGCCAGAAGGGTAGATAAACAGAGAGAGAGAAAGACAGCCCCAGAGAAGAACTCACAGCTCACTGCGAGACCAAACACCACTCTCTAATGAGCCACAGGTGACCCTCTGGTCAGGTGATATCAGAGCTAGTCTTTGCTTCAGTTGATAAGCAGAGAGAGAAGAAGGTAAATACATAATGTGCAACTGTTTCCATTAATAGAAACAAAAATACCACACATTCCAAAGTCTCAGCTTCTAACTGGGCATTTTTCACAGCACACACTCCGACTTATCACAGTAGGGAAAGCCAAGTGTCACTAATAACATGGCTCTGTTCTATTGAAGGTGTTGGACCACTGGTTGGACAGAAGAAGTAATTCACTGATCATCACCTTGTGCTTCAGAAAAATGTTTATATATACACACACTCTCACACACACACACATATATATATATTTGCAACTGACAACCATTATCACATGGTATGGAGCATACACAGAATATACAGTAATAGCAAAATGATAGCTCACGGCATGCCTAGAACATAACAAATGTTATACAAAGTAAGGAAACTCTTCAGAAGGTTGTGATTTAGAATTTTTCACAATTTTCTAAGATTTTATAAACTGAATTTTGACTTTTTTTCTTTAAAAAATAAAGAAAGACAAAACAATTATCACAACAGTTGGCGATTAACTTAATATTTGACAACTGATCAACTAATTGACTACTTGCTACAGCTCCAATCCAAACAGAACAGCAACTAAGACCCAATTTGGATGTATCCTCTTCATTCATTATCCCATCGATTAATATGTCAATAATTTTTTCAATTATTTGATCAGTTGTTTGGTCCATAAAATGTCAGGAAAAAATGTCAATCACTGTTTCCTGAAGCCCAGGCTGACGTCCTCAAATGTCTTGTTTTGAGAAGCTGAAATCACAAAATATGGAAATTTTTTCAAAAAACGATTGCAGCAGTTAATGTAATAGTTGAAAACTAATTGATTAATCGACTAATCGCTGCAGCTCTAGTTGCAGCCCTACTACATAGTAAATAACGACTAAGACACATTTGGATGCATTGTCTCCAAACAGAATCCTTTGATGTATTAAAAGTTCTCATTGTCAGTGGACACATTTTACAAATGTGCTGCACGATATGGAAAAACATCACACTGCCACAAAGTGTGGGAATGATCATGTTTGCATCAAAAAATTTATTTTTACTGAAAAAACTATACAAATCGTCATGGGAAATTTTTTGGGGTCTGTTATAAACAAACATGTTTTCTTAACGTTAAACCTGGACAACACGATTTGTAGACGAGGGCGTCTCTACAGAAATGAGAGACTGTTTGTCACACATTTCACCTCTCAAAATCAAAAACCTTTTTGCTATAACACGACTTGTTGACAACTCTCATACAACAGACTGAATGTTGTGCATGTTAAAAAATAATTGAGCTGTAGTAGTGTGCCTATTTACGTAACCAAAGGCTTAATAACTCAATCATGCACTGTGTGTTTGCAAGAAGAATATCCAGCTAATATGAAGCTTATGGGGCTGGTACCCGCCGCCGCCGCCGCCGCAGCAGCAGCAGCAGCAGCAGGCCACACTGTGGATGCTGATGTTGATTCACGACTACTCCGGCTCTGTGCAGTCATTACCATAACAGACCAACGGTTAACTAGCTGGCTGGCAGCTGGCCGGCAGTATCAGCTCATAACAAACCCCCGCAGACATAAAACGACGGCCCTTCCACAGCCACATTAACCACCGTGCTAGCTAGTTGACGGGCTGTCAATCACTGGGCTAGCAGCGGAACCAGGCCGCAGTCGGCTCGGTCTGTGATGTCACCTTATTGTCGTTAGCTAGCACCTAACGACCCAGCTAACGATAACGTTGCGGTAGACTCAAATGCCTATGAACAACAACAACATGTTCTCATTTTCTGTATATTCCTAATATAGCTGTTTGCCTTTATCAGGTCATTTTAGCTCACCGCTCAGTGTCGGACTCCAGCAGCGTTGACGGTGGCCGCTGTTTAATGCGCGACCCGTGAACGATTCGTCCGTTTTGAACTTTTCCTAATGTTACTGAAGGAAAGCAACAATTCGCTCACTTTGGTTTTCCACTGCTGCCCTGACTATTCCAGTTGTATACTAAATGTGTTATCATAAGCTTAATAAATGCTGTACCTGACTATTTTACCATAAAGTGGAGACAGGACAGTAACGTTAACTCAAACTTTGTTCAGCGTGTTCACCTTTGTGACCATTTAAAATAACTACTAGAATTCGCCCAAAGAGCCAGACCTGACTTGAAAGTTAACTGAATAATTTCAAGAAGATACTTATATATATACACACACTGTGCTCTCTTACGATCTATTTCAGAGATTCTTAAAAAGGAAGCGAACTTCCCATTTCCGCCTTCCTCCCATGAAAACAAGAGTGAGGCATCACCAATCACACGCCGAGAACTCGATATGTGTCGCACTAGCACTGTCGAACACAGAACAATCGAACTGCACGCAAATGAACAAAAATGGGTTTAAGATAAACATTTATGTTTTATATATTTGTTTTTTATGCAACAGTAGACACAATATTCAACTAACCAAAATTGTGTGGAATGATTTATCATTTAGTGTATTTAAATATTGCACTTGCATTTAAATGCTACTGTTGATGCATTCAAACATCAATAATTTTAATCAATTCTATAATTCCCTTCCTTCTCTTGCATTTATACATTTAGACAACTTTATCACTGAATCTGCTGCTGATATTTATTAGTTTTTAGTTATTTGTATTCATAATTGTCAAGTAATTCAAGTGCATGGCCTACTGCACAAGAAAATTAACTGATATCTAAAATGTGTACAAAAAAATAAAGCTAGAAAACAAAGAATAATCATTTCCAAGGAGCAATTTACAGACTGACGTTTTAATGGGTTGTTTAGCCCTTTGGTAGCCTTTTCCGTAGATCTTGTTAAACAATGCCATCTCTGTCTAGCAATGACTTGAAGTTTCTGGGCAGGCCAAAAATATATGTATTTATTTATTGTTTATTTGTATAGGCACAAGTATGTAGCATAAACAAATGCCACACACTTGTGGAGAAAACGGTTGAGGTGACTCTGTTGACAATTAGTGAAATAGAGGTGGAAGATAATGACCAGTAAGAAAAAAGATCCTGTCCCTTGAGATAAAGTGAGATGACATAAGAAAAATATGTTGACTTAAAGTAGCTACTGAACACATTTCTAGTTTTTAAAAAAACATGCCCAATATAATGCACAACAAGCAGGAAAGATAAGAGTTTCATCAGAACAGAGGATGTGGAGAGAAATGCTCAAGGATGTGGGTGTTCCAAAAGAACTTCAAATGTCATAGATGGCCCACAGTCTTAAGTCACAATGTAGCTATTCAACTTTTGGTTTTGAAACTTCTGGAATTGAAATGCCAAGCAGAATTTGCTTGCCACAAAATGATTTATCCTGTGGCAAAATAGAGAAACTTTGAACGGAAAATGTTTTCATTCGAAAGGGGGCAAAAAAACCCATGCAGGGTTGTAGTGGGAGGGGCAAACCCAAGTAAACTCAGTTTATCCACCTCTTTGAGAGACAGAGAGTTTATCTGTTTTCAGATAACTGTATCAATCAATGAGGGGAAACAAGGTGGTAAACTACACACCTCTGTATTTATCACTACACCCCTGCACACATCCTTGTGTTACTATATTCATAATGCATTTCCTTAACCCTAACCTTTACAACAACCATTACAACTGACCCTTCCTAAGTCCCGCCCCTTTTTGCTCTGTGCTCCAATACCAGTTGAGCAAGCTTCTGTGACTTCGGTCAACTTTCTCCTTTCTGTACTTATATCTGTAGATATGCTATGTGCTAGGCTAATCTGTGTTGAAAAGACAACCACA